CTGATGGCGAAATATTCTTCTCATGGATCAGCCATCAGGGTTATTTCGGTAATCTTTTGGTCTGGGAATGAAATTTGTGGGGAATATGGTGTTGAACCCCTTCCCATTTGGGGGCAGAGGGAACCACAGGGTGACTGGAATGCCATCATGGACAGGGTCAAAGGCAACATCGTGTGGTGGAACAATCAGCTCAAGGAATTGGGAGTGGATCAGGCCGCCCTAATCGGCGAGCCCGACCCGCTCACTTATGGATTGAGTCTCATCTTCACCACGTTTGTTGATCGACTGAAGGAATGGTTCCACAAGGAGATTGCCAGTGACAACGATCGAATTCGGTGGATTCAGAATGACATGCTTCCACCGAGGCTTGAGCTCAGGGACTACTTTCACGCATTCGAGACCGAGCTCAACCGAAGTGAAATGATCGGATATGTCATGGCAACTCTCCACATGTTGCACATGACGGACATCTTGATTCCTCAGTACAACCTGTCTTTGTACAAGCGCAGGCGCCCTGCAGGAGAGGCTACAATGCGTGATGTCCCACCAAAGATGGAGCACCTCCCAGTCAGGTTTGTGCAGGTCCTCAACGCTCTCCGTGAGAAGACGAACAAATCTGCACCGAGCGTCTCGACCCCAGAAAGCTTCACAGCAGAGGAGTTGAGAGCTCGCCCGACCGATGCTGGTGTCGCTGAAGATGATGATGAAGAAGGCGACCCATGGGATGCTCTGGATCCCGATGAGCACGAGGGCCCATCGGTTGGCAAGGCCAAGGCCAGCCACGCAGCTCCACCTGACCCCAAGGCGAAACCTCAGACGACACAGGAGGATTCAACTCAGGCCACCTCAACTGGTGAGCCCCTGCAAGAAAACGAGATCAAGGGTACCATCATTCCGAAACATGCACTTGGGCACCTTGACAAATATCGTATCACTTTGGACGAAAACATAAATGCAGAAGTAGTTGAACATTGTGTCGTTGATGCCCATCCCTACGAATTGATCGTCAAAACCTGTTGGGAGATGGATGGGGCAAAGGAGCTGAGGTACCCAGATCGCATGGACCGACACAAGACTAAGGTCAATGCAGTGACGCGTGGACAGCCGGGTCAGGACACCTCTGGATTTGATGAAAACATGTGGCTTGACCTTGATGACTTCTTTCGAATGTTCAACCAAATGCTGCCAGCCAAGTTGCCCCGAATGACAGTTGAAGAGCTTATTTCATTGCTCTACTGGGACAGCAAGTGCCGTTTTGAGTTCCAGTGCATTGCCGGGTACCAGAAGGCAACCCGTAAAGGGTTAGCCTACTGGCCCATCAGGATCCGTGCAGTGCAGGGGCATACGAAACGTGCCATGGATGCCGCTTCAGCTGAGGACACGTTCAATGCAGTGGAAATCTATGCTCTGTCTGGAGCAGCAGCGATCCAGAAAATGAACGCCAAAGGTAAAAAGATTACCACTCCTCAGATGTGCCCTGGCGTAGTTTATCACAGGACTACAAAAGGCAATTGGAAGGGCATCATTGAGAATGGCTTCATGGCTGGAGGAGGAGAACGAAATTCATCAGGCAGAGCACACTCCTATTTTAGCGAAGTGCGTGTCGACGAGAAAGAGTATGTGAGCGGTTTGCGTGCTGAACGACCCATTGAAATCAGGGTAGCAATGGCTGAAGCTGTCAAAGCCGGCATTGTGTTTTTCAGGACGGCCTCTGACGGCATTTTGACAAGTGACGTCGTACCGCCTCAATACATTATCTCTGTCGATGACACTGCAAAGAAGGTGAATTTGTATCGTCGCCAGCAGGAGGTCGCACAGTCTGCAGCGAGCAGTGGGGGAGAAGTTGGAGTCCAGCAGCTTGTCGAGACCTTTGAGGCCAAGGCATCAAAACGGACTGGTTCCACGTCTCCGGCCGCCTCAACTGGCGCGCCCACTGCAACGGAATTTTTCCCAGGAAAGGTGAAGCCTCCGCCACCAAATGTGGCCCAACTTGCCGGTATGCCTGGATATGCAAGCAGCAGATTGTTGCCCCCTCCTCCGAAGGGTGAAGCTCCAAAGCCTCCTGCAGCAAAGGTTGAAAGCCCAAAGACACCGCCAAAAGCGCCTCCAAAACCATCACCGAAGGAAGGGACTTCTGCACCTCATGCACCAGAAGTTCCAAAAGCTGTGACCTCAGAAGTTGATGCAGCAGCAAAGGATGAACCTGCAAAGAAGAAGGCAGCCCTGACAAGCGTGCCCGCAGCTGTGCCTGCGGCATCATCAGCTGCGGCCTTCTTGGAGCCTGTTTCAAAAGTTGCACCGCCGAAGGCAGTACAGAAAGATCCAAAAGCTCCAGTTGCAGAGTCACCCAAAAAGACGCCGGCATCAACATCAAAGTCACTGGTGCCAAAGCAGAAGTCTCGCCCTAAAGGCGATGACCAACCTTCGAAGAAAGAGGTGAAGAAGGAGGACAAGAAGCCGGTGCCGGTCAAGATTGAAGTCACGCAATGTTCAAGATGTTTTGCACAGACTTTCAAGGGACAGATTGAATGCGATGTGTGTGGATTGATGCTCGAAGGGGTGAACAAGGCCGACCGAACCAAGATTGCAGAACGAAGGAAGGCCGCCCTTCACAAGCTGGGCTTGTACTATGATTTTCGTGGTGAGTACCTGCAGAGCATCACACACAGTCAGCTTGAATCTTTGGGTTTGTTGGACGACCAGGCAAGAGGAAGCTCTAGTCCGGAAGCCAGTTTGTTGGCAAGGGCAAAGAGTCGATTCGACCGTGCCTTGAGCTTGGGCTATGTGTCTGTGGCTGACAGGTTTGCCCAGGACGCCACATTCGCAGAGAGCGTGCTGAACGAGGGGGAGAACGAGTACGATTGTGAAAGGTACGACCTCCTCAAGTCTGCACATTTGCCAAAGCCAGGTCGTACCAAGGCTCAGGTCAAGATGGGTGTTTCTGAGCAATCTCAGCTGGAGCACAACGCGATGAGGCTGGTTTACTTGGATTTGGCAAGCCGTCTTGATGTCCCGAAATCGTTCAGGTACATCGACCAACCATGGTTCTACATGTACCGTACGGAAATCTACTCCGAGGAAGAGTACATTGACTACCTCGATCGGAATCCTGGACACAACCTTTTGTTGTCTTGCACTGGCGTTGACAACATTGCTGTTCATGATGCTGAACGTCATTTGAGGTGGATCAAGGGGCAAAACGAGGAGCTGTACAAGCAGAACGCTGCAGAGAAGAAGAAGCAGTCTGACAGGGCTCGCGAGCAGAACGAGGCCAAGCGCAAAGCTGAGCAGACTGGAGCGTACGGCCAAGGTCCCTCCAAGAAAGGCACCGCCAAACCGGTTGCCCGACCATCCACCGTAGAGGTAGCCTCATCATCCACGTCAGCAAGTCAGTGGCTCAATCGCCCTCAGCAAAGTCATTCCCGTGAAGATCGACAGTTCACCAATGAGTGGCAGAAGTGGCATGGGCGCTGGTACCAAAAGGTTATCAGGCATGGCCGAGTCGAATGGGAAGAGGGATAAATTTTGACACTGCTTGCATTGACGATCGATTGTACAAAGCCGCACATTCTTTTGATTGTTTTCCCTTGGGTTTGCAAAGAGTTGGATCGGTAAGGCAGGCTTTAAAAGCCTCGCCCTGGTAAATGGGCAGCCTTGCCGTGTCCGGCTCACCTGAGGGGGGTGTATTTGCACCCCATGTAAAACATAGCTGTATCATAGATGTATCTGACAGCATTGCGGCTCAGTATAAAAGGCGCTGGGTCGCTAGCTTAACGGTTTCTTCCCCTGTTTAGGTTTATCAGTCCATTTGGGTATAACTAGGTTAACCCTTGCTGAAACCTGAAAATACAGTATACGTGTATATATATATACCTAGCGAAACCAAAACCTTACTTTTTGTAGGTCCCAGGGTGAAAACCGAGCTTTCGAGTGAAATGCATGCAAAACCTAGGTTTCCTGGAGAACCTCACTTTTGGTAGTATATATAGCTATAACATATATATGTTGACCCATCTCAATCATATATTCTATCCTTTCATGATATTCAATGGTCGTTCTCATCATATATGCCTTATATATATCATTTGAATTGCACGCTATATTTAATATGACCATCATCTACCATCACCTTCCCCTCTATCAACCGGTTGCTGCCCTTTTAGGCGCCATCGCCTTCTGGTCCAGGAACATCGCGACGAATTTGCAGCAATGTCTCTGGAAAGTTTGAAGTATATCTTGATGGACTATATATATGGCTACATATATAATGCTACATATATGAGATGCCCACAATGATATATAATGATAAGGTGGCCAAATGTAAATGAAACCATGGGGCAACCACAGAGCTACGCCAGCTATAGTGAGACAAAGCTGAACGCGACCGCTTTGAAGGGTTGTGGTTTAAATGGCAATTCTCAAGTTATAGTTCTGGGTTCCCCCCACAACTCAACAACTATATACAAATTTAACATACACACCTCACCTCACCCGTTGCGGGGTGCCATGGCAAACGCAGCCCACTCAGATATGAGGCGTGGTCCTGCGCCGGGTGCTCTTCTCTCAAAATCTGATATCCAACAATTTGAAGGGTCATAAAAATGAGATGATCAATGATGCGCAGAAACAAATGAAGTTGCAATGAACTTAATCAATTGGTTTTGGTTTACTTGACCAAGTGGGATCAGCAAGGTCCATGAACATTTAAAAAGGAAACGCATGTGACATCATGACTCTATATATACGCAGCATTTTGCTCAAGGAGTTGTGCTGCACCTCTTGTGCGGGGGGTCATGGAGAAGGAGGCTGACAGAGCCAAGTTGGATGTGAGTGATCTAGGGGTCTTGCTTGAAAAAGAAGAAGCGATTAGAACTCATTTACGCGACTCTGAAAACGTTCTCTTTGCTGGAGAAACCAAGGAAAGTGTCAAGGTTGCTTGCACTGCACATATCAATGTGCTGCTACGTGTTGTTCTCACCAAAGTGGTGGAGACGGAGGGAATGCCCCAACCCCCTATCCACCCCCTTCGGGATCAGTTAGAGCTCCTGTACCACAAATGCGGCCGCGTCAGTGTTGATACTGACCAAATCATTCGCGACTCCTGGTACGTCAGAAAGTTCGTTGGATTGGTCAAAATGAAGACACGGAAAGAGAAAGTCAGCGAAGAACCTAGTCTCGAGTTCAGGAATGCTTACAATTTATATCTCATTCGTCCTTTTCCATGCAAATGACAATATATCTTTTGATTCGCATTAGATGATGTTTTCATGGCAATCTCACCGCAATCATCCCTATCTAGTTTTAGATTTGGCATTCCGCTCAGGAGAAAGACTTTCAGAAATTGTGTCTGATCCTCAACCCAGAACTGAAGGACCGGGGGTCTGTATCCAGGTTTGATTTGAGGATCAGGGCTCCGTTGTTAACCAATCAATATCGACAATTTACATACGACCTCATGATCATACAATGGGTCTTCGGAAGGATTGATGTTGTTCATCTTGATATGGTCTTTGATCAGGATCTATGTGATGAGATCAACAGGAACGTTGAGTTGAGACTTCAACGCAAGAAGGAACGTCAGGCGCACAAGTGACCCAGGATACATCCCAAGACATCCCAAAGTTTGGTTTCGCCTTTTCATGGCATGCATGCATGCAGCAACTTAAATATATATGACCAACATTTGAATATTCAAAGATTGCCACCAACGTGTTTCTGCCTGAGTGTCAACATGTGTCCACTGATGGAAACATGACTTTCATCCCGCACAGGCACGAAAGAAAGGACTGATTTCTACTGACGATGCTTATGATGATTCCAACAAAGGTTCTGAGTCTGAGAGTTCCCATGGCGAAGACAGTGATAGCTCTAGTGGGAGCAGTGATGTTGAAGGGGTAGATATTGATGCCGGCACCCATCCGGCTTCATCATCAGCCCTAGTCGGTGAGCCAGCTCAACCAGCCCGAGCCCCTGCCGCTGCTGCAGCCCCCGCCACTGCTGCAGCAGAACCGGCTCCTGGTGAACAGCCTGAAGAGGTAGCACTCCTGAGTGTTGGGCTCAGTGACTCGGGGGTCAGCTTAAGTTGACCCAACGCATGTTGAAACTTTTTTCAAAGACGCCAAAGCAATAACATGTGTTGTCATTTGATTTCATGGGTGTCTTCTGATCCCTGGTAAATATAGAACAGGGTTCCAATAACTGCGAATGAGTTTCTGTTCAAAACCATTTTCCTCAGGTCAGGTGCCAGCTGCAGACGCAGCCCAGCAAAAACTATCCATGGACTTGGAAGAGGCCAAAAAACGTTTGGCCGAGTAGGGGACCAAGTCGTGTATAAGCCGTGTTGATATATATCTTGGCATTATATAAGTGCAACTTTATATTTTGTATATATAGGCCATTGGACAAACTCAGTGCATCAACCAAAGCAACACAAAATTATATACCTGGTCAGATCGATATTGCAACTTGTTTAAATATGATGTTATATATATATATAGATATATATACGTAGAAATACTTGAATCAGATGATATATGCACGGTGTTCGTCTTCCGGCTGAGGCTCCGGGAAAAGAAGGCCAGGTTGAATCTGGCTGTGCAGAAGATGAAGTCTGAGCCCTTACACGAGCGGCCACGGGGACCAGCAGGCTTGAACATGGATCCATGACTGAAACAAAAGCTATACCATTGATCTGCATGACCTATCCTTTCCCTTTCCGTTAATTACGATTGATTTATCGATCTCCCCTCTGTTGAACGAATGTGCATGAATGCATGGATTTTTTAAAATATTTATATAGCGCATGATGGGACTCAATCCATGTGTCAGGCATTGCAGCTAATGCCACTCCTGGACCAGTGGCTCATGACACCGCGGAGACTCAGCCGCTTGTGGACATCACTGCGGTGCCAGTTCCAACAGATTCTTTGCTTCCAACATCATCCCCAGACATCCCATCGTCCAAGATGCGGGCCAACTATCAAATGAAGAGATCCAAGCCCAATTCTCCTGATGACACGCGATTGTTTCCAGTAACTTCGGTTTTACTATTTACACATATTTACACCACACACACACATATCCTGGACATGTTCGTGACAAGATGTTACAAATCAAAGTTTAACCATTTCTTTTTCCATATATACCACGTACATGCATGGTGTTAGTCCATATGGCCATGTGATGACAATATGACCATTATATGTATCCAAACTTCAACGGCCACCGTCACTCAGGCACCGCCCAAGACTGACACGGACAATGTGGCCAAGCCGGATTCTGCAGCAGGGGATGGAGGTAAACGTCCGTATGTCACCAGGGATGACCAGCTACGTATGAAGGCAGTAACCAAGGCCAAACGTGGAAAGGCAAAAGGAAAGGGAAAGGGAAAGGATGGTAAGAAATGCAAGAAGAGAGGTGGAAATTCCCGGAAGGCGAAAAAAACCCATAGCCGCAGGTTGAATACCCTTCGTGCCCTCAGCCCCAGCCCCAAAAAGAGAAAGGCGAGACTGGCTATAAATGATGCTGAACATGATGCAGGAGCAGAAGCAGAAGCGACAGCAGCAACGGGTCCAACAGGATCTTCATGTGTCAACAAGATCAAAACGCGCAAGACTAGAAAGGCAAAGGTTGCACATGAGACGCCAGAGCATGTCGAATCACAACCAGCCAAAATTCCAAAGGCAAAAGCAGCGGCCAAGACACGAGCATCACCGAAAGCAAAGTCACGGGCAAGCAAGAAAGCAGACCCAAAGGTTTCTGCCAAGGCAAAGGCAAAGGCACGGGGCAGGCCCAAGTCCACCCCACCTACTTCCGCAGCAATGGTTCAGCAGATGAAGGCCAGTCATATGTATGTGGGGAACCAATGTGAAACGATCAGAATGTTTTGCATCCAAGTTCAGCAGCGGGGAGGGGACAAAGCTACATCCCCGTCGTTCAAGAAAGCAGCTCGCAGCTTCGTTCCTCGTGATCTTGAAATGTTTTACATTCAGAACATCTACTGGACCCGGGGCTCCGTCGGGGTGACAAGTACAGAGAGTGGCAAAGATGTTTTACATTTCAGTTTCAACCAATCATCAGCAAGCGAAGCTTACAAGATGGCTGCTGCAGTCAAATGCGCAATCATTGCGGTCACTCAGCATTTTTTATGATAAAGATGTTTAATGTTTGCTGATCTGTCTTGTTGTGTTGTTGTGCTGTGCAGTTCACCTGTGACATCAAAGCAATACTAGGCTGGTTTTCTGAGTTCAAAGTTTCTGTATGGTTTCAGGATTCTTGCAGGGTTGCTTTTCCCTCTATCCAAGGCGACCGGGCTGGAGAACAAGGAGGACTATAAAAAGGATGGCCCACTTGTCGAGACCCTCAAGCACAATGCTAGTTTGGCGTTGTTTTTGCTGGCCAATGAGCCAACGGATAGCTGGGATAGCTGACAGATTTACCACGGGTTTAGGGGATTGTATGCACACGGTATGGCCCGCACCATGCTCATAAGCACTTGGCGGTGGATCCAAATCTACTCTCAAAGTTTTTGGGTCTAAGTCATTTGCGATGTCAGTGCACATGTATTTACCATGCATGGCTAGATCGCCTGTGCTGCGGGGCTGAGTGGGCGGGGCTGCCTGGACCGATGTGCGAATACATGCTCAACAGCTATGAAGCTAGCTGCAAATATACTTTTGACAACATCGCTTCGCGCCAGTGGAGGAAAAGTTTCCCGATGTGTTTGCAAACGTAACATGTTTCTGAGAACGGACTCGGGTGAACCACTTAACCTTTTAATCCTTTCACAACATTGGGAGCCGCATATATATTCTGATTTGATTGGCGCATGTTGTCAATGCACCAGACCGGAACGGACATAGAATGGCACATACCTGGGACCTTGGTCAGATTATGATGATACTCCATCCATATATACTTGATCTTGAGATATAGTTGGGACATGTTGGTACCTTGGTCAGATTATTAAACAGGTTTGAATTGAGATGTATACTGACATATATTTACCTCCGTGGGTCGATATTCACTATATATATATACTATACAATTAACGTCTATATATATAAATGCAGGGATCGACTGAGTGCTGCGCTGGCACTCTTCCAAAAACATTTCCTCATGTCCCATTTCCACGGCTCCTTCTGGCAGGTGCCCATGCCCAGTCGGCCGAAGAATGTCTGGAAGGTGCGATCGAAATTTTCAAAACGATGGAAAGGAAGTGGGGCTGGCTATGTTATAGAATGCAGAGCTGGTTGCGACATGTATACCAACATAGGCTAAGAGGCCGTATGTACAACTCAATTTTAGCGAGTGTCCTTTGTTTATGGTTTTGGACAACAACTTTGGTTTTAAAGCCTCTTATCCATATGTTGGTATTCATCAAGGTTCTCAAAAGGATCAGTTCATGTAGGGCGACCATGGAAGAATCAACATGCAACATCTTCATTTGACCGGAATGTCGAAAATGGAATCTGAGTTCTCGATCATTGTGCCATGCCATGTTGCAAGCCACAACGCCGTTTGGCCCCAGACGCCTTTGAAAGCTCGAACTTTGGGGTTGAGCCTGACCAGTGGTGACTGGGGTTGGAGGGAATGCCTTGTAGATACCCAGCTGATAGCCCGCAACTGGACGAGTTGTTCTTCCAGCTCAAGATGCTCAAGTGTCCAAAGGTTGGGGACCCAACGTTTTATCTTTATATGTTGACAGCAATTTGCCACTTGCGAAGATAAATGATATATCCGTGGTTGTTTTTGGTCCAGGGTTGAACCAGCCAAAATCCGATGAGGTGCTGGCCCTTTGTATCCTCATGATCATATGGACACCAACTTTCAAGTGCAACCAGGCGAGGAACAACGATGGGATCATGAACGTTTTTTTTGAAGATAAAAAAATCCCCGATTCAAGTCACATGTCAAATTGATAAATTGATCAAGTGCCAGTGCCCAACATTTTCTATATACCCGATATCTGCCGTGGCCTTGTGCAGGAATACCAGCTCTTCGAGTTTTTCGCGGGGAACGCCAACCTGAGCAAGTGCGCCAGGGCCAGTGGGCTGACAACGGCATCGTTTGATATCCTTTTCGATGCTCAGAAACCTGGTCGCTCATATGGTTCCAACAGCATGGACATCCTGTCAGACTCCGGTTTTGCGTCTTTTGTCCATTCAAATGACGCCAAAGATTTGTGTATTGTCATCATGTGGTTTTAACGACATGATGGTCCGTTCATTGATATAAACCCCATGAGTTCAGTTCCTACGTGTGGGGTGGGGTGGACGCCTCTCAATTTCAATAAAGGTCCCAAACCTCTGCATATAAATTCGATCGTAAAAACTTGAAACGATATTGGGGTATTATGAGGAAACCATATATATATATATAGAGATCGACTGTTCAACCTTAGTCTATATGGTGGTATCTCTTGGTTGCCTATATATGGGGATGTCTCAAAATCAGATGATCTCCCTACATGGCAAGTGTTTTTTTAAACCGGTTGCCATTCGACAACACAATGTTTATATCCCCATGCAGTCTTTCTTGATATGTGGCTACCCCCAGCATTGGTCACTATGGTATCCCGTCCGCGTTCCTTCCCAAGGCTGTGCCTGCATTCTTTGCTGTGCTCCGCGGAAGAGTTCCTTGCAACGTTTGCGATCAAGTGTTCGTCTTGGTCCGCGGTAAACCGCGGGACCAGCTTTCGAACACCATGTACTTCAATTGGGTATGAGGAGTACGAATCCGTGTACACCAGCAACACCATGGCTGGCCGGTTTCTTGATGGGGATATATAAGAAAATATGTTTGTGGGATTGATCATGGGGTTTGTATGTTGATAAAGTGATTTGTGATTGAGGCTATGTTTACTCCTGATTGTGGTGACGGCCCTGGGTGGAGCATGGTTTGTGGAACAGCCCGAGCAATCAGTTCTGGAATACTTTCCACCGTTCCAATCCCTACTTGCCCAAATATTCGAAGCCAACCGTGGGACTGCAGTGCCTAGTCTTCAATGGCTATAGCAGAGTTAATGTGTTGCTTTCATTTCAGTCGCATGCAACCAAATTCAAATGCCTTTGCGTGTCATGGTTCAGGAATGGGTTGGACCCGTATGTAGAACTATATGTTGCTTTGGCCCCCAATACTTTCTGGGTAATCTTGGATGACCCATGAGAAATTGAATATTGGACTTCCATTTGTATGGCCAGGGTCACTGAATTTACCAATGCATACCATCTTTGTCCATGCACCCAGTCTATCACATATATATATATACCCCTTAAATCCCCTTAATATACCCTGTATACATAATATATCATATATACCTTTCCTCTCGCCTCCAGGTATTCCGTGCCAAGTGGTACATGGCCCACTACGGAGGCTTGAGTGCCAAGCCGCACTACGCTTGGGGCAACAGTCCCCATTTGTCACGCCTCTGCCTTGGTCCGCTTCTGGGGCGGCGTGCAAAGCAACCGTATGAGGGGCCCCTGAAGGTGAAAACCTGCAAGACCTATAAAAACAAAAAGGGAGAGACCTGCTATACTGGAAACAGTAACCTTCGCAAGTCAGAGCTGCTCAGCTCAAGCCAACAAATCACCAAGTTTGTTTTGGGGTAGATCGTCGTTTATGCTTTTGGGTTTTGAGATCGGAAGATGCGTTGTGGGGAGATGTTGTGGGGGTACCACCTTTCAAGCCATGTGGTAACTTTTATTTTCGGGGTTGGGATGTGCTTTGAGGAGCCAATATAATTTTTAAGATGTTATATAAAATCAAAATCATGATTTATAAAATCGCATGGTTCATGATGGTTCATTTTGGGATATATGAAGACAATCATGTATGGTTAAGTACAGTTTTTGGGGTTCATATATATGGTTGGAACATTACATGGGAACCTCGTGCATCTGAGGCAATATCCTGTACGGTTTGGCTTCAAGATTGTTGATCTCTATTCCGATCTTGTGTCGTCAGCGTTGGGAAAAACACCTGTGCCCAAAGTGACTCCGAAAGCCACCGAGTCGTATGAGGGAATGCCAGATGAAATCGGCGCCCTAGACTATGCCCAGGTAATTAACGTATTCAATTATCTCCGTCAGGGAAAAGACCTGATCATCCCAAATCAATGGTCGCATTTGGTTCCAAAGCCTTTGCTTTGACCGTGAAACCAGAATAAGAAAACCTTCAAACATACTTGATCACATTTCACCGAATTGTTTGATTTGGAACGTCGGGGACCCAGATTGTAACCAAATAAAAAGTTAAGGTGGTGGTTTTAATGCAATTTCTGTTTTTTTTTTAAATTGCGGAAAAAAAAGATAGGTTCCGACAGGAAAACCCGGTTTTCTACTATGAAAACCCGTATTTAACCCGTAGGGAACCCGTATTTCTGTCATTCCAATCAGAACCCCACTTTCTAGAACCCGTATTTAACCCGTAGGGAACCCGTAAAAAACCCGTAGGAACCCGTAAAAAAAAGATGGGTTTTCCACTTCACGGCCAAGGTGGTAATTATGTGTAATTTGGCCTCGTTTACGGGCCCGGACCGACTTTGACGTGCAATGATATGGCAAAATGTTGCCACCGATTGCCACGGATCATTCAAACATAAATTTTCTTGTTGTGGCAATGATGTTTGATTGCACCAAATTCACCAGACCTTGTTATCCGTCCCCTGCTGCATTCTAGAGATCACTTGGTGGGTTGGAACCATACCTATAGGTAGACTTTTAGGTCTCACCATGTCTCGACAGCCAGATTCAGCCATGGAGAGCTCCCGGCTTTGGAGTTGCGATACCCTAAAGGATGGCATCACCCACTTGATGTCAGAGGTCGATGCCGCCGATGAGGAAGAGAATCTACTAGAGATCATGATCAAGGACAGTGTTATTAAAATTGTTTAATGTCAGAATGCGCATCCTTAAATATATTTGTAGCACCCGGGCCTGCATTGCCTTATATCGATTAATTTTGGGATGCCCGGTATATATCCATTGTATATGGGCAGGACCTGGAAAAGAAGCAGTTGGCACTTGGCAGCGCACCGCCAGCCCCAGTGCAAAACTCAATCATATATTTACACATTGGACACTGGATGGAATGGGTTGGATCCTGTTTTATGCATGCCCCACCCTACAACCCCTTCCGTGCTGACTCCCCAGGTGCCGACCGAGCCAACTTTGGCACCGGACATTGCGACCGCCGAGACCCTAGAGGCCTGCAGACGCCAGTGCGCATGGTATATATATATATATATATATTGCATGGGGAGGGTGCATGTATAAATATATAGATGTGTTATGACGTGACCTACGGTATTTAATGGGTGATCGAGTTCGGATATATATGATTTTGATGTTGCATTCAAACTTCCAAATGGCTCACAAGTTTAAAGGCTTATTATATTTATGTGTGTATATAGAATGAATCAGTTGAGGAACAATGCAACTTATATCTTTGATTTTATATATGATAGGAGAATTGACTTGGTCGATCAGGCTACTGCTACCCAAGTTCAAGAAGCACTTGCTCCTGGTGGTTTGGAACCGGCTACTCCATCTGCAGCTCCCACCCCTGTAGCAGTTACTCCTAGTCCCACTGAACCGGCTACTCCATCTGCAGCTCCCAGCCGTGTAGAAGTGACTCCTAGTCCCGCTGAAGCCACCCCGAAGTCCACGTTGGGTGAACAACCAAAGTCTACAGATGGAGATCAAAAAGCATCTGAAGTTGAGAGCCACAAGGACCATATGTTTTTGCATTCAACTATATATATATAACATAGTCATCAAATGAAGTTAATATGGGGTTATTTTTTTGGGGAAACTTCCGAAGTTGGTCATGCATGATGATCACTGCACACTTTTGCCGCGCAGGATCAGGGTGCCTCCGTCCGGCCCATTCCTACACCAAATCGGACCGCCAAGCCTCGTGGGAAGACTCGCCAGGAGCACCCATTGATCCAACCTGAATCTCACATGGGAAGCCATACCATTCTCTATATATAACAGGTCAGCATATATTTACTATATATATATGACTTGACTTGACTTATATTTTGTACATGATCATTGCATGTATATAATATACGTGAGTTACGAATTTACACAACCAATGGAAACATCAACTTGATGGTGTTTATATAATGGGGTTGGTATGGTTTTGCAATGGCCTTTCCTGTCAGGAATTGCTACGCGATGCTGCCAAAGCCCAGATCCGAAGGATGTGCAAACCGAAAAAGACACGTAAAGATCTGAACGTTCCGGAATGGGTTGTTTCTGAATACAAAAGCCGACCCCAAAATGAAACAGCAGCTCTCCTGGTGAATTGCAACTTTGATAAGGCCGGTCATCCCATGTAGGTTACATGTGCAGTTTTGTCATGCAATCAGCAATGTGTGTGTGTGTGCATGGGGTACATATTCCTACATGCGTGCACAGGCACAGTTTATCGCTTCGCTGGAGATTGTGGTCAAACGCCGGTCATCCCAAAAGGTGACCATTGATGAGGAATGGCTGTCTGAGAAAGAAATGAAGGATGACTATGGATGGTCTACGTGCTTATCTCAAAGGGGTTTGTTACAACACCCAACTCATATAAAATCAGATGTGCATTCTTGAATCTATTGGGTTCTTGGGTACACCCATATGACCACAGTGAAGTGTGTAATGTTTACCTGTTGTTCCAAGGGCGAAGATCAACGGTGCAAAGGCTTTGTGCATGAAGAGATCTGCGACCCACATAAGGAGATCTCAATTCCATGGATGCATTTCCATGCAATGGATGTTGCATCAGCTATATATAATCATTTTATATACATTGTCCATATATACTTTATTCTGCGTAACTATATACTCTCTCTCCCTCTCTCTCCTTCGAACCATTTATATCCGTCCCTTCCCTTGGTCAACCGTCTGGCAGGAAAAACCTTTACGATGGCGTAGAGGAGTACTACGTCGTTGTCAAGGAGAAAGGACAGCGGGAACAGGAACATGTTGAAGAGGAGACACGGAGCAAAAGGAAAGCCTTGGAGGCGGGGTAAGTAAACAAGTTAATGAAGTGTATGGGTGCCTTGGTCGGTTCAACATTGGTTGATCCATCAAAAACATCATGGCCAAACTTTATGGTCTATATCCATGTTTGGTTTTCCCTGTTTGGTCTCAAAGTAAAATCGAGTAAATGCCTCTTACTCCATGAGAGGTTCTTGTTAACCACTCTTGCCATCCGGAGGCTTCTGAGGAGCCGAACCTGTCGGCCAATGCACTTGCCGGCCTCAAAGCGATGGAGGACCGACATGCTGCAGAGGCTGCAGAACCAGCAGATTCTACAAGCAGCCAAGCCGATGAGGCCTGGTTGACCATATATATCATTGCCTGCATTTGGGCATATGGTGGCATATGTTGATATTGGTTAAATAGATATCTGGGTACATCGATGGGTATATATACGGGATATGGAATTTAGATGGTTGGTTTTCTGGTTCCCTGAGTTTAGTACCAAATTTCAAGATATTTCAAGATTATCCCACAACATAGCAAACTTATGATACCAAAAATATACCATACCATCCCTGGTCACATTTGTTACCGGAAATCCTTGACCAGACCAAGAAGAAGCTGCGGAAGTTCTTGGAGTCGATGATTCAGAAGTCAGGCAAAATCAGGTCTTTGGTGCGGGAGATCGCCGATGTCTACTCAAAAAGTGATGTCCTGCAGAAGTCTTCTTCTCAATCGCTCGAGACTTTCCACCTCTTTGCAAACATGTTGAGAACAGTTTGCTTTGGCCCTTCGCCGAATTATAGATCCACCCCTCGGCCGCTTGAGGTCCAAGCGCCAGCTGGAGGACGAACTCCAGAAACTTGATGGCCAGTACGATGTCTGCAACAATGTGATGGCCAAGGGTGAGGTGAATGGATTTGGGCCGGAGTGACGGACTGAGAAAAATATAGTCAATATATATATAATTATATATATACTTTACCAACAGATCACATTCAGTTGCACCTGCATGGGATTCAATGTATGCACTTATCATAAAAATGGAGTCCTTGATTCCACCCATCTATGAAATCATGCGGATGAGGTTCGTGACCCAAGCCACGACTGCCATGAACAATGCGACATACACGTGTGGGCCTCATGGCAATTTGTACCACTCTTCATGCGTATACATATTTATACAATATATACATTGATTGCATCTTCATGTCAACCTGACATGATTTCGTTCAGGTTGAAAATTGTTGACACATGCCCACAATGGCCCAGGTGCTCAACGGCCTGCGCAGCGGAAGCAAAGACGAGGTCCTTACCTCAGCGCATCAGCGCCATGCCCAGTGTCCTACTTATATACTTGCAATCTTTTCCAGGAATGCGAAACGGTATGAGAAGAAGGACGCTGATTTGCCCGGATCCCCACCTGTGAAAAAGGAGAAGAAAGATAAGACAGACAAACGTGACTCGAAATCTGTGAAGACCAAAAAACGAAAGGGCGAACCGGATGAGAGCGCAGTCGCCGAAGTTCCCAAGTCGAAGAAGTCCAAGAAAAACAAGTGATGTTTTGACTCGAGCTGATCATTTTTTGATCTTTGGGATGGATTGCCGATATATAGAGCAATCATTTTTTGTTGGAACTCCCAACAAATTTGTGTCACCTGAGGGAACCTGCAGGTCACCTGCGACCGACATGAAACAGGATAGCACCTGCGGGACTTGTTGAATTCTGGACTCATCCATGTCCGTGTTTGGTCGCCCATCCAAGACCCATCCACCTATATATGTTTTGGGCACAGTACATTCTGTGAATTAATGTGAATTTGTTTTTGGCATTTCATCTGCGGGCTGACTGGATGCGATGTCTACAGAAACAATGCTTCGCATTTGGGATTTGAAACCAACATCGATCGAGCGGAAAAATGGTTTCAATCTTGCTGGATGCATAGTGCCGCAGTGCCAACACCCTGCTATATCTTTCTTGCCAGGCCCCAACACCGTGTATGTATATATATAGACGAAATAGTATAGGTCCAACAACCGCCCGTCTGTTCTGGCCAGGTGCTGGCAATGCCGTGAAAGCATTCAGCAAAGACATCGGCCAAGGTGTTCTGGCCTCAAAGGCATCGGGAGTGCAGTGCATGGATCACCCAAGACAATGACTTCGATTC